TTTTTATCATCAATAAGAGTACAGACGGATACATTTAATTTTATGCTGGTTGTAACCCTGCAATGGTCTAGCATCCCAGCCAGGGGGAAGTAGAAATATTCCTAGTCGTTTCATGCTACAGAAACCGGGATAAGCTCTGGCCTGATGTGCCACGTGGTTCGTATGCAAACTTTACCTTTAGCTAGCCTTCATTGAGTCTGGATTAAAATGAACTTTGGCTACTTTTGTTTCATTTTCTTTGCAGATTTCTGTCGATGAATCCTAAATTAAAGTCCAGCTTTAGTAGCTTTAAAAATATCTCAGTTGATGATATCAACAAAAGCAATGATCATCCCAGACGATTAATGGCTGCCATCGAAAACTCTGTGTCCTCTCTCGACGATCCGGAAACCTTTGCAGGTTACGTGCTGGAGCTGGGAAGAAGACACGCCAGACTCAAGTTCAAACTTTCCAAGTCTCACGTAAGAATTTAGTAGCGCAGTGAAATCTCGATTTTTCAAACTCTCGATTTTCGAATCTCCCAAGGGCGCGGCATGCATTTTTCGTTGAATGCGCAACAAAGATAAAGATAATCGAACGACGAAGGTGCGAGCCCATAGGGGGTTTTGGGGCAGGCCCCTCAATAAAGCTTTATTGTTAGTGGTTGGAAATGCCATTTCCCACGTTTCCAAGGAAGTTTCATAAGTCAAGACATGAAAAAACTTTAAGTATTTAGTACTTGAACTTGTGCTGTTTATATGTCAAAGTTTAATCTGAGCAGGTTTATTAGGAGAGATAAGAGACTGTCAAACCAACCGATTTGATTATTGAAGACGCCTTTCGCTTTTGGCCGTTTCCTTCTCTTTAGTTAAACACTGTAATTTTACTCTTGATTTCTTGATTTTTCAAACCAATTTTTGTTACCCTTGGAGGTTCGAAAAAGCGCACACAAGAGTCCAATCGTGACAGTGTTCCCATTCTTCCTAGATTAACTCGGAACGAAGCAAAAATCAAATACTCCTCTTTATTCCTTTTTTGCAGTTCACTGATTTAAGAAAAGCTTTTATTTGTTCCATTAAAGAATCCCTCACTTCTTGCTGGAGATCTGAAGTAGAGGAAAGCTGGGTACTACTCTTCGACTTCATGACTGTCATCATGGTGAAAGGTTTCAATTCCAAGTGTTGAGACACGTTCTGGGCAAATAGCTGAACATTCTCCAGTTATATACAAATCATAAGTTACAGTGTCACTGTACATATTAGCCTGAGGATACAGGCATCTCTTTACCTTCATACAATCCTCCTCACCTTGTAAATGGCCAACCTCCCACCAGATGGGAGTTTTTTTTTTTAACAAGTTTCTGTTCGAATTACACCACCGACTGGCAAACACTATTCACTTGACTCTGAAGATGACTTCCGCTTAGGTTGTCGAAACGCACGGGTCGAAACGTCAGTCAGTTCTTTTCAGGCTCACTCGGACGATCACACTACACGAATTACAATATTTGTTTGCTTATTTTAGTGTCCCCAATTAGTACAGCAGTGCTAAACACCTCGACAAATGTAATTTTTATGTTTTAAAGCTCTATTTGACCTGGCAAATTTCATACTACGTACGTCTCTGAAGACCTGTGACTGGATCAGTTTTTGCGCGCACCGAAATGTCAAATAACCGTCACCAGCATCAAGAGAATATTCTGATTAGGAAATCGCAGGTGTTTTGGGGAATTTTTACGTGTGGGAGCAGAGGAATCTATTTACTTATGATCCTGTCAGTCAGAACCAAGATAAAGTTGCTGGTAGATCCTACAATACCTTACTTTGTATGTAACAACTTAAAAAAATTACAGGAATCTACTACATTCAAACAAGATGTTATTTTCTGCGCAACTTTGCAAATTCGCAACGCAGTGTTCAAATAGACCCTTTTCATAAATGGCTGCCGATTTAAAATTCTGTTGTATGCATTTAAATTAGCCTCACTAAACTCGTTTGGGGGTAAAAATTCTTTTGAATTATCAACTCAAAAACGAGGTTAGTCAGGCTAATTTTAATACTTACAAAAGAATTTATAATTGGCAGCCATTTCTTAAAAGGGTCTATTTTGATTGGCAGTTTCATCTAGAAACTTGCAAATGTAACTCCACTTGACAAGATTAGTCTGAGTTTTGACATGTTCCACCGGCAAAGAACACGTCGCTAAATAAATTGCTTCCAATTAAGTTGACCGGAGAATAGCTAACTTTCCGTTTGAGTGTAAATGCAAATTAAGACCTGAAATATTTTTCATTACGTGTCTGAGTATTGCGTCGAAATGGGTTGCACGAATTCGCACTTCGTTCAAAATTCAATGACTGTATACCCGTTTGTGGCGATCGAAAAAACTGTAATTCCTTTAACAGCTGAACAAATACGAATGGTGCGAGAAACCTGGGAGATTATCGAACCGCACAAGAAACAATTTGGAGTAGATGTCTTTATGCGGTAAGAACTTCTTACTGTAGACTTTCATTTCGTATTTAGGATAATTAACTATATTGCCAGCACATGTTGAAACTTGAAAGAGCTGGAAGAAAGTGTTTTACTTCACAAAATAACCTTCAAATCGAAGAAGCTTTTTTTCTGACGTACAAATAAAAAACTCACAGAGGTGAAAAAAGGCTAATAATAAACCAAAAATGTAAATGGAGGTTTCACCTCCTTACCAGAGAGGAACTGCTTTACTGAACTATACACTGCCCGAAAATCTTCATTTTCCGTACTTTGCCTCAGTTTTACAATTTTGGTTTTATTGATTTTGATTGTAACTCGGCAAGTCGTTCAAACGCACACATGAAAACGGAACTTTATTTCTCCGGTTAGGTCTTCTGTTCACACTAATCCGTCACGAAAACGGAACTTTTCGAAAACGCTCTTCAAACTGGAGGAATTTAAAAACGCCGGCTTTGCGTTTTGACGTGGACGAAAAAAAAAAAAAAGAAAAATTGAAAACGCAGCTTTTCAAAAACGACGAGGTTGCAATAATCATGATATTTTCCTTCCGAGTTTTACCCAAATATAAATCCAGGATGACCAGTGATTGTTGCGTTTTTAAGTTTCCCTGGCGTCGCGTGGATATAAAACATTTGATGCGTTTTCAGAGTGAAACCTCCGTTTTTCAAATTCCTCCGGCGTAGTATTGTGCAAGCGGCCTAAGAAGTGCGCCACGGGCGAAAAAGACATTACACAAATTAAATTTATGACGTTTATTCATTTCTGAGTATCATATACCTTATTTTCTGCACGTAGTTTAAACCTATCATTTTTTAGCTACGAATTAAAGAACATTTGCTAGAATAATCTTATGTGGATGTTTTAAGAGATGATATAATTTGTTACAAGTAGTTTCGATCCGATGGAAAACCAGGTTTTAGTATCTTAAGTGAATTGAACCTCTGTAGCCTGAAATGCAAAATGGCAACTATAATTGCCAGGTAAGACATCCGTAAAAGGAACATCAGTCAAATTGTTGATAGAACACATGTTTTTGTATTGTCAATTACTGGTAGATGCAACACGTACTCAAACAATGTGCGTTGGTGTACAACAGACGTGAAGTTTCAAAAAGATCAACTTAGATCAAAGTGAACTTGATTAGAACCTAAGCTAAAGTGTACATTTTGTTAGCATCATGTAGATTAAACAATTATTCCACGAGCGCCCGTTGGATATGAGATGATAGAAAGCCAACGAGCCGAGTTGGCTGAGCAGAAAAATTGTGTTTCTAAAAACGCCCCCAAAATATTGAAAACTAAAATGAAATAAAAATAAAAACGGCCCCCAAAAATTACGCGTACGCTTACCATATTTGTAGA